CGCCCAGTGCAATCTCCTCAGGGTGCCATCGGTCAGACAGTTGGCTAGCGACCCCCAGGGGGAGAGCCTTCTCTGTGGGAGCACCTTCCCTCTGGAATGAGCTGCCCCCGGAGCTTCGTATAATCCCCGACCTCCGGTCCTTCCAACGGGCCCTAAAAAGTTGGCTTTTCCAGCAAGCCGGCCTGGCCTGAACAGAATAAAATAAATGATTGATTTAATTGTTAATTTTAATCTAATTTTTAAGATTGTATTGTTAATATTAATTGGGTTTGTTTTTGGATACTTTATTTAACTTCCTTTTTAACTTTTGTAATATGTGGTTTTTTTAATGTTGTATGCTGCCCTGAGTCCTTTGGGAGAAGGGCGGCATATAAATCCAATAAACAAACAAACAAACAAAATTAGGCTGGGGGAGTTTTAAAAGTACAATATATAGTATATTTATGTGTACTTTTTGTTATATTTTTCTTTTTTAAAAAAAAGGAGAATATGTGTTTAAAATTAAATATGTATATTGAAAAGGAACTATAAATACCATCAACATAAAATGGAGCTTGCTCAAAAGCTGAAATACACCAAACAAGTGAGATGAAGAATGGGAAGAAAAGGAGAGAGGTAAGGGAAGGAGAAAGGGATAGGAAAGAGGGTAGGAGAGAGGAAGGGGAAGTAGAGAAGGGAAGGAGGACAGAGAGAAGAAAGGAGGTAGGGAGGGGGATGAGAGAGGGAGAAGAAAATGAATGCACAAACATAGTGTATGGAGAGCAGAAGAGCCAATAACTTTTTTTTTCTTATGGGGAGTTGATGGTAAAATGAATTGATGTAAACATTTAATAATACAATACAATGTTTGCTATGTAATAATAGTATACATGTGATTATATATTATGAAAATGAAAAAATAAAAAACTGTACAAAAAAATAAATACATTCCCTACTGTATCCCTGTGGGTTCAGTATCATGTGGAAAGTTACCAACTCCTCCATTTTAAATGTTTCTTCTCACCCCACTTTCTTCTCAGTCATTGAGTCTATTTTTATTGAATTGATAAGAATTCAGGAAAGCTTATTCTGCATATTTTCCTTTTTCCTTTTTTAAACAGTAATATTTTTTTCTACTCATTAATAATAAGTCAATTTCCAAACAAGACTGCTGATTACCTCTTCATAATTTTTAACCACACTTTTTGGATATAGAATATTTGCATATGAATTGACTGCTAGTCAGCTGATCCCCTCCTCCCAGATAATGGCTGTTAAAGTCTAAAAGATTTTATACACCTTGACTCTGCTATGAGAGTGTCAGAACAAATGGGAAAGTGTTATTTAACTCTGGTACAGCAAAGGATGCTGACCTCAATCCTTGTTATTAATTATAGTTCAACAATTCACAAGCAGATTAAAATTATTTCCCCCATTCATAATGCTATATTTTCCTGCTATGGATTTGCCAGTAGGTTTTGAAGGATTTTCTCCATTTATCACTTGCCAATAAAATTTACCTTCAATTCATAGCAAAATGTGGTGGAATATTTCTTACTCCTTATAATATGGGCAAAATGCAATGTTTTCTAACTATTTAAGAACATGCTAGCCAATTAAATATGAGTGCTGCTGATAGATAAAACTGGAGTTTCTAAGTACTCTTACCACAAAGAATTGGCTGAACTTATGTTAATAGTTCACAGCCCTACTTCATATGTAAGAAATCATACAAGGTCTTTTTTTAAAACACACACACACACACACACACACATCTTTGCAACATGCATAGAATGTGTTTGCTAGACTTGTAAAGGAAAAGGATCCAATATTTTAAAAAGTAAGATTTTTAGATAGATTGAAGGTTCATATTACTTTTCATATTAGATATGAAGTGTTAATTAAATTTTTGGAAACATAAATAATTGAAGATATGGAGGGAATTTAAAGAAAAGAAAGAAAGAAAAGAAAAAAGAGAAGTGAACCAATGAAATATTATTAATTTATAAGCAGGGTGAAGACTTATCTCAGGGAGGTCCCCCTAAACATCTGGAAGAAGGAATCATTCAGCAAGTAACCCTTTTACTTGAGCCAGAGAGCCGTTCCACTGGTGGCTGTCATACAGCTCTCTGATTCTTTGAAGGAGAAAGATACATTACTTTGCCCCTTGCTTTGCCAACCGGGCAGACGCGTGTCAGACAGCAACAACTCCAAAAGCGGATCTTGTTATCGGAAACTTTGATCCAATCTGCTAGTCTAGTATCCCTCGCCATTCTCCCCTGCGCCTTCCCCAAAGGCGGCTACACACACTGCAAAATCCTGCCTATATGCCCATTGACGGCTGTCCTCTCGCCTCAAGAGATGTTGAGTCCTGGCAGGAGAAGGAGGCATTTTCCCACTTCCCCGAGAGAAATGAATCAATAGGGCACCGGGGCTCCCTTGCTTACCGCTCCTAGGCTGAGATTTGGCTCCGAGTAGTTTCTCCCCCCTGCTACCAAGCGAGTTCTTCATCCTATGGGAGATTCCCCCTGCGCGCTCAATCAGCCGCTCTTAGCCAGCCATGGACCGGACAAGATAGAAACGGAGAGAGCTGCTGGGCTGGGTCTGAAGGAGAAAACAGAAAATCAACGAGAAGAAACGGCGGGCTGGTGAGAAGAGCCCCTAGGTTCTCGGCAGTTTTTCCTCAGTAAGACAAATGTTTTCTTTTTCTGTTTCTTCTAGAGCCGTCGCGGGGCAGCCGCCCACGCTAATTTTTTGGCGGGCAGTAATTCTTCTGCTCCTTAGGAAGAAGACTCTGATGCTGCGTGCGAGGAAGCAGCAATAACCAGGCAACACCGCCTAAAATTAGAGAGATTCAATGCCATACTGAGGGAGAGCGGGCGCGTGACGGGGGCTGGAGGGGAAACTAATGAATGTCACCACGCGACGAGTGAGAAAGAAAGCGCAACACGCGAGGGCTAATGTGTAGAGGACGTGGCGACAGGGTCAATAAATAAGAAAATTATTCTGGGGACGCAGAATTTGGCTCAAGAGACACTTCCCAAATCTAGCAGCCTTCAAATATGTTGGACTTCAATTCTTTTTGCTTATCCCAGCCAACCGTTTGTCTTGCTCTGAGGTGCGATGCATAGAGATAGTATTACTTTGTTATGCAAATTACAAAACAAAGCTTCTGAGAAGAATTTATAAAGAGGACATGTTTATCAGCAGGTAAAAAGGAGTGGGGCTTCCATTCATGGCTCCCATCTTGACTTTGTTACCTCTCTCTACACACACATTGGGAGCAATTCCCAATGGAATGCATGAGCCTAAGTCATTAACATGCATACATACACCTACCTATCGTACAGGGTAACGTACATAAGCTAACTTAGACTTTCTATCTTCCAAAACAATTAAGACCCAGCTCATTGTTCTGAAAACTAGCTTTCTCAAAAAAAAAAAAAAATGAAAACACCACAAACCAAGATTTCTTAACAAATAATTTGCCAGAGAGTTATTCTGCACATTTTAATCCTGGCCTATTTGGAATGCATGAGCTAAGTCATTGAAATGCACAGGGCCCACTTATCTTTGATTCAATTTTGCTTTTTGGCAAGAGTTGATCCCATGTATTCAACATGGGTGGGCTATTCTTTGTAGCGTATGGAGGAGCATTCATAAAGCGTATGGAGGAGCATTCATAAAGTTAAGCCGGGCTTAAAACTGCATGAACTGTTAAATGTCACATTTATATACATTGGATAATTGTTTGCATCTAAAGTTAAACTTCTTAGTGAAAAGTTAAATTACTATTAATTTCAAATAAATAAAATCTTATCATTTATATTTTTAAAGTAAAAAAAATCATGGCCAGTAAAGCATGAAATCATATATGCACAGAGAAAATGAGAGTTTCTGCTAAGCAAATTATCATAAAATATAATGTCCTGGATTTAATCACACACTAGAAGAGCAAAAGATTGCAGAGCAATTCAGATGCTGCACTTCCTTACTAGTTAAGCCTGCCTGTGCCAAGACTTTAAGTTATTTGTGATTTGCCAGTATATCAATACTTCCATTAGCATTTTCTAGTTTTTTTCTAGACCTTATAGAAACTCTCTACAGTCAGATTTTAAAAAGATGGCATAATTGAAGAACAGATTGTAAAAGGCAGCTTCTACCATTGACATTCAGATTTTATTATTTAATTGCATGTTTCCTTAAAAGAAGTTGCTGACTATAGAATAATTGTGTTGTTTGCTTTTTTTTAAGGGACACAATTAAATATAAATGAAACAGCTAGTATTTGCTTGTTAAACTGCTGTTAGCTGATGCAGTGATGTATTTGCGGAACACCAACAAGATCAGCTGACCACACTTCCAACTCCGTAGGAGGTAAAATTATCCCTAAACATATCCAGTCAAGTTTATAATTGAAGTTATTCTACCACCTAAATTTACCTGTTTTTTTACATAGTCTTCTAAGAAAAGGACTTGGAGAGAAAACATGGCTGGAAAGTCTTCATGACAGAACTTAACTGCCAAGGCTTGACAGTACAGAAGATACCACTGAAACATCGATCGTTGCATCACTGGCCAATGGGGAAAAGGCTAACAATATCAAAAGGTTTGCCTGAACTCGCCCAGATATGAGGGTTCATGAGATATTAACTATTTCCTAGAGCAAAAAGAGAGGAAATGTGTGATGCCAAAGCAGTGACTTTTGATCCAGCCAGTATGATTATGTGCTGCCAGAGAGAAGGAGATTTGGCTAGATTAATGACTGAGTAGATTAAGCATTTTGCATGAACATAAACAAGAGTCCAGTGGCACTTTAAACCTAGTTAACTTTATTATTGTATATGTTTTTGTGATTCAAGTCTATCTTTATTAGAACATAAACATTTGAGTAAGGTTCCTGTGAGAGGGGATAAAATATACAATTGCGAGGGCAGAAGATAGAAAGGGGGGGTAAAAGGGGATAGTTAGAAATGGTGACCACCCATAACTGCATAGAAATAGTTGTGAAGCTTCACTTTCGGGAAAATAATCTGCTTTCCTCTCAGTATCTCACACCATTTACTGGGAAGGCCAACCCCTCTATAACATTATACACCTGGATAAGCTGCTATGGAACAGAAGACTTATGAATGTCTACTTAAACTATCACACACAGTTAAATCTGAATCCAAATTACTATGTTTAAGCAGTCTACTTTTTAAAAATGCTCAATACATTTAAAATATTCAACCAGCATGACATTTTTAAAATTATAATTTTATAATGGTACTAGGCATATCTGCTTCCTTGTGTTGGAAGGAAAAATCCATCTGGTTTAGCTCCAAGCTGGAAGAAAGACACTGGAAGCTTGAAGGCCGATTGGAAAGAAAGTTTAATGATATCTTAGAAGAATAGAATTGGAAGCAGTCTTCTAGTCCAATCCTCTGCTTAGGCAGGAAACGGTATGCCACTTCAGACAAATGGTTATCCAATATCTTCTTAAAAACTTCCAGTGTTGGAGCATTTACAACTTCTGGAGGCAAATTGTCCCCACTGAATAATTGTTCTCACTATCAGGAAATTTATCCTTAGTTCTAAGTTTTTTCTCTCCTTGATTAGTATCCATCCATTGCTTCTTGTCCTGCATTCAAGTGCTTTGGAGAATAGGTTGACTCCCTCTTCTTTGTGGCAACCCCTGAGATATTGGAACACTGCTATCATGTTACCCCCAGTTCTTCTTTTCATAAGATTTAAAGGAGTGGATGAGAATTTGCTTTTATTTCATTCATCTGGGGAAGTGGCTACTGGATTTATCTCATTATATGATCTGATGCTTCTATTTTTGTTCCTTTTTCAGAAGTGCAATAAATGCAGATTAATTTATTTGATCAAAATGATTGTTTTAAAGAGAAGTTTCTAAAGAAAGCTTGCATAAATATTTCAAAACATATAAAAATCTTAAAATAAAAAAAGATAAAAACAGGTGCCAGGTGTATCGGTCTCAAAGTTGTTATCATTATTTAGGAGCCCAGCTTCTGAAGAGTGATATACTATAACTAGTATATCAGACAGCAAATAGAGCAGAGCTTCAGGATAATAAGGCTTAGAAAGGAATATGAAGTATGTGACGTGTACAGTATATACTACTGCTATGATCTAATTATATGGATAGTTTTGTAACTAATGTTGGCTGTGGAATAACCAAGAAGCAATGGAGGAGACAGACTAGAACTGCAACTAGTAATGAACAGGAGAAATTGAAAGTGGAGAAGACATAATAATATAATAATAATACAGTTCATTTCAGGCTTAGTTGCTGTATAATAACCAATGTCTGTGGACCATCTTTAAAGGCAGATACATTTTAGAATGGAAAAAATGATACAAAATGAAAACATTAAAGAAATTACTCGTTTCTTTTACTGCATGGATGAAATAAAATCTTCAATAAACCTGATGTGATTTTCTTATATCATCTGTTATTTAATATCAAGCTGTGTTACCCTCAGGGAAAGTATTAGGCACAAGTTGGCAGAATCACCACATTGAACTATGTATTTTTGGTACTGTGGAAATGCTTCTACTGGAAGACAAGTTATAAATATTCTAAGGAAAAAAATAGCAAGTCAGTCTTTCTACGTTAATGCTGGATGTTTTGAATGACGGTTAGAATATTTCAGTCTTTCAGCTGTTGCCTGATTTGAAAGCACCGGCTGTTCAGTTTAATAAAGTAGGATGAACAATAATCTTTTATGCAAGCTGAAGAAATAAGAATCCAGGATTAGAAATTGAAAATTCATCCCAAACAAAAAATTACATTTAAAAACAATAATTTTATATTGCTTTTAAAATAATAAAAAAGTAGAAAAAACACAAAAAGAATACATAATTTAAAATATGTGCTTAAAAATGTGTGAAAAACATAACAGAAAATATATATACAGTAAACAGTGTGTGTGTGTGTGTTGTATATAGATATAATTATATTTTACTATTTTTGTGAAACTGTTCAGCATATTCTTTGATTGAATTGTTCTGAATTTTTTAAAAAAAATCAATGAAGCCTCTTGCTGACTTGTTTTGCTATCATTTTTCTTTTCAAATATTTTGTAGGCACATCTCACAAAGATGAAATGTTATTTGTTTGTCTCCTACAAGAGAGACATAGAATATGCAACCATTATTTTATGTAGGTTTCTGCTAGTGGTTGTTCTCTTTATCTAGAACAGCATCCTTCTTTGAGGGAGGAAGGTGGTTCAGAAATGTGAAAATAAATAAAATAAAAACAGGATGTAGAACTGTAGTTTCTCTAGATCTTTTTGAGTCCAGTAGTGCCATGCACCATGGACAATTGGAAAGGCTGATGGGAGTTTAACAAAATTTCAAGGGCTACATGATAATTTAGCTCTGATTTATTGTTATGATGAGCACTACAATCAACGTCTAGCTTAATGGAGAATGGGAGAAGAATACTTATGAACTAAAATATTGCAGCAAATATTAAATTTCCCCCAAATAGTAAATTTTATTAAAAAGCATATATAATTTACCAAAATAGTTATGGGAAG